TAGCTTACAAATGAATCAATTGAGCGTGCTTCAATAACGAGGTAGAGCAAAATGTAGACATGACCTTAAATTTCTCCTATTCTGTTTTGAGATTCTTCACACTTTGAACTTGGATCTCACGTTCTATTTCCGATTGTTTGTTTGAATTTTCTCGTCCGTTTCATTGGATTACCTTCGGATTAATTTGAGTTTGCCTCGATATTACTGTCTGTATGAAATGCAAACAAAATTGTAGGAACGAAGAGTAGGAATTTAGGGGAGAATTAGGAGTTGGAATTGAGCATCTTATATCCGTTTGAATTGTTTGATTGTAACGTAAATAAATGTGATGGTTATATTATTGTTCATAATTTGGGTTGTGATCCTCTTATTTCCACTAGGATCTAGTTACGTACGGCACTGCTCAAAAAGGGACAATTGGAAAAGAGGCTCAAATCGGAAAAAGATCTTAAGGTGTGAGAGAGTTATGATGAGGATGGCTTTGCCGAATTAGAGTATAAGGATTCGAACGAAGATAACCAGTTCTCTGTAAATACTGGTGAAGCGAATACCAATGTGAATAGATGTTTTAAACGTAATAGTGCTAATAGTGTCCGCTCCGGGGAACTACATAGCACTTCAAAGGACAAACAGGCACATGAGCTTAAGGATACACTGTGTACTATTGTTAATAGTAATGGTTTACCCAAAATTCATCTTGATGGACACCCGAGCCAATACCACTTTTTCGTTAGTAACTTTACTAGCATAGAAAGTAAATTGTTCGATAAGAGTCAAGTGTTGTTATATCTGTCGTACTACTATAAAAAAGGCCAGTATGGCTGTTGAGGCCAGCGTGTCTTCACATGATCACGTGGGTTATAATACAGTGAGACAAATTTTATACGATCATTTAGGAATGAGCCTATAGTTGCCCGCGAACTAACTACTGATTTTGCCAACAATAGGTCCGCTGGAAGAACAACCGAAGAGTTGACCAACTTTGTGATTAAGCTGTGTAATCGATGTATAAACTGGCGTATGCCTGCTCTCACATAAACATTGACTATTTGTTTGAAAAAAATGGCGTGTAATTCCAACACAAATTCCACAGCTAAATTACAACTGATTGTGGCATATGTATCAGTGTATTCACAAGATAATTGGGTTGGAGTTAATAATAATACCTTTCTGCAAAGGCAAGTAAAAACGCCATTTCCACAGGCATGATCTACAAATTACAACACTTATTGGCTCACAGAACATCAGTTCATTCGTGCAGATGCCTTTGAGCGTTGATGATTAGGTTTATGCTTTAGTATTACACTGAGTGCAGTTTTCAAAATATTTCAAAAGTAACATCGCGTCATAACTGTGTTAAAATCTTCGTCGTGCTAAGTATTTATGCAATACAACTTTTTAAGTTTATAGTTGTTATGAAGTAGACTTGTACGGCGCTTGGTGTGAACTATGACCCTGGGAAAACGCGTACATCGAGTTTGTCCCAGTCATCAGAAGTTCCACAGCTATGCCTTCAGAGCAAGATTCTGAAAAAACGAGAAACAGAGAAGCAGCAAGGCATTTGGATATGAACGCTAAACAATGCCTAACATTTTGTAGTGGAAGAGCCAGAAGTATGATAAATTATTAGATTAAATGCATACTAGAGTGAAACGTGATCAAAAGCTACAGATGAGAGAATGCAGTAACAAAGAACAATGAGCTGTGGTATTTACCACGGTGGGTTGAGTTCAAGTGAAGGAATGGAAGTCAAGGTTGGAATAAGGAAGGTTGTTTATTAGGACAGGAAGTGCATGTCGAGAGTAAAGTGTTAAGAAAACTAATAACCATATCTTTTGTTGTCTGATTTCTTTCACCATTTTTTTATCCGATGCTCGCCACATAGTGGAGGCTGTAGAGAAATTTCAGAAGACCTGGGACAGTATCTCGGTAAGGAAGTTCAGAGTTGACAGTCGAGGTAGGAGGGAAATTAGGAATTGAGGAGGGGAATCTATTATGCATACAGTGCTGAGTGCTGTTAGAGAAATGAGAGCGGTTATCACTCCCCGGTTGCTCACAACACTTAAGCGCTCTTCTGGATGAACCTGAAAAGGAAATTGGGTCACAGTCGGTCTTAGTAATCTAAGAGTGTGACCACAGTATCCAAGGGAAATCTGCATGTGACTGGCCACACAAAACCTTATCGTGTATCCGTGAGCTTTTAGAGAGTCCTTGCCGATTCCACATTTCTGAACATTTACCGTAATGTCACTCATTGGAAAATAAGGTTCAGATGCTGGCGATGAGATTCTCTGTCCAGACTTGCCATCAAACAGTCATCAAAATACGCATGTGCAAGTTTGAGACCTCGATAAACGTCGTCTGGGAACCTTTGGGATGTTTGGGAAGCATTTGCTTATGCCGAAACTTGCGAAAAATTCTTAAAGACCGAAAGAAGTAATTATAGAGGTTCTTCTGGGACCATGTGCAGTGGTGATGCCCATGGTCTGTTCGACGATCGAATGATTCCTAAATCTATCATGTGATCGAGTTCGTTTTTGCCAACTTCAGCCTTTCGGTGGCCTGTTGGCGCGCTTCCGAAAATAAAGGTGGTCCTGTAGTTGTGATGTAATGTGTAGCGTTGCTGGGTACACACGGCAATTTCGGTTGCGTTTGGCATATCTCAGATTACTTACGAAGTAGTGGTTGATAGAATGGGTCTATCGTGTGCTTAATTATGACTGAAGATAATCTGCAAACAGAAAAAGAAGTTATGCAAACTGATATATAGGCGTTTCCGTCTACTAGCCTCCGTTTGCGCGTATCGATGATCAGATTATGGTGTTGTAGAAGGTCCATACCAATGATTGGCATAGAAACATCTGCAACAATGAAGATCCATTGAATGGGTTTGCGTAAACCCACGTTAAGGTAAACGTACATTTTGCCATACGTAGCGATCGGTTTTCCGTTTACCGCCTGTAAGTTTAGGGTCGATTCGTGGAGTCGGTCGTTAGGATTTGCTGGGAGAGCGCTAACTTCTGCGCCAGTGTCGACGAGGTAGCGAACTCTCGTTGTCACATCTGTGACGTATAACAGACGGCTATGTTCGCCGGCTACGGTTGGCGTTAACGCGTGCCGGCTTGGAAGTTTCCCGAATTGCTTTTCGAATCAGTCGGTTTCGTGTTGGGAAAATTGCAGGGTTTTCTGCAATTTCTGAAAGACTTTCCGTACTGGTTGTGATACCAGCACCAGTCGGGATTATCCGTACCTCGTGGTCGAGAGACAGATCGCTTACGTGAAATGCTTCTACGTGAGGTGTGTGATCGCTTACGGTCGTTACAAAGATTAAGATAACGCATGAGTGTATGACATAACTCTGTTACTTCATTCTGGGTCGTTTGAGACTTTTCTTTGACTGAAAATACATCGGCATTGGAAGATCAATTGATTTCTAGGATGCGATCGTCATATGTAGCCATTTCGTCTAAGGCGTTGCTTTGAAACGAGACCATAACCGCTTGCACCTGTCGGGGAAGTTAGAACAAGAAAACTTGTTTGAATAGGCCTTCGTTGAAAGTTCTTGGGCCTATAACCTCTCTCATCCTTTGCAACACGTCTGTAGCAGAACCATGCTGCAGGTCTATGTCATTAAAGAGTTGGTCTAGCCTTTGTCGATCGGTTAGGTCTCCTCATTTAAGAATAGAACGTTTAAGCGTGTCGTAAGGTTCAGAAACATCACTAGCAAACACACTAGGTGTTACTTACCTGTTGAATTTGCGCGGTAGTGCCTTGACTACTGCGAGGAATTGTGCACGTGTGTCGAACACGCCGTGCTCGTGGAAGTCGGCTTTGCGTGACAGAACCAGGCTTCGATGTTGTCTGGCCAGAAAGGCATCAGTTGAAACGAAGGCAGGAACAAGGTCTTAAGCTTGAGTACTTTGGGTGTCTGTTCAATCATGATGAAATATGAAGTAAGATAATGAACGAGGGAAAAATATATATGTCCAAAAAGCACGGAAGAAATATCACAATGTATAAAAATTAAAATAAAGCAATGATATATAGAATCCCAAAATGGAACAGACTTGTAGCGTGGCGTCGAGTCGCGGTAGACTATGAACACCGCTACAGAAAAACACGTGCCAAATAAATCCATAAAATCTCTGAGAAGCCAAATATCAGAATGCAGTTAATGGACCAAGTCGAGACATATTTACTGGCGATCTCGTGGTATCGAAAGGATACCGAGATCGTGCCAGGATACAAGCTTGGTTACAGAACGTTACCGAATTCGCGCGAAGTCACAATCAAAGTATGTGAATGATAATGGAAGCATAATTTAGCTGCCATTAGCACGAATAAACAAAGAGCAAATTAAACAAGCACAGGTACAATTGGTATTAATAATAATTGTTTTCATTAAACCAATGGTGGTCTCGTGATAAAAGTAAGTCATTACAAGAGCCCCGCTAGAAAGGGTTTACACTTTCGATAAATAGCGGTTTAAATCGTCTGACAACGCTTTTACCAGTAACACCTAATATAACTCGTACCCACCAAGAGAAATCAAAAGACAGAATGAAGGAGATCAGAAGTTGTATTTGACGATTGCCAATACATCGGAATTGTCTGATCTAGTTGGGCTAGCGATTGCGGTTGATGTTGAGCACGGCGTTACCACACGTGATCTGGTGCTGATGCGTGACCGAGCGCCTTCAGCTAGATGAGTCCATTAAAACATGTGGTCAGCATCTAATGTCGAAAACTTACAGAGCTACTTATTTTGAGGATTTATTTACAGCTAAAATGTACTTGGATTGTAGCTTTCATGTAGTTAAACAACAATTAAAACCTATGAGATTCTTTTGGTATAATGAAATCTGAAACTTTTCAGGTTTTATCAACTACTTATCAATCGGATCTAAGACCAGTCATTCAATACTGAACTATTGAATCTGTTTTAACTAATCCACATATAGGTTACTATAGCCTCAGTGTTTATTAAAATATTAAAACTAATGCCTATTTCTAATAATCCTCATTATTGTCATGAGCAAATCCAAATACCTCCAGCTCTTCCAGACATTTTAAAGCAATTCACCAAAGCAGCTATCAGAACGCAACCTAAAGACGTTCTCAAGTGGTCTTATGCGTAAGTAGTTCCGATCTGTAATTTGTGATTCCATAGATATTTTAAAGCGATAGCACAAAGTGAAATACCACCAGTTAAAGAAAGACTTGAGCTTCCAATAAGTACACAAAAAACAGACACAGGTTTAACACCAGGAATTTTAAGAATTTTAAATAACCAGGTTGGTTCAGTGGAATGAATGCTATGACCTTCATTTATACAGTACTTTTTGGTATATATGATACTAAATAATTTATACTATTACTACCTAAATATTTTGCACCAAGTTTAAATTTATAGAATGATATCCGCCGAAATTACCACTCGATTTTTAAGACGAATAGATGGTAAAATTAAAATTTATTGTTTAACAGGTGCATTCAAGATCTCGCATACGAACGTTTCAAAGATGACCTTCTGTGTCACTTTATAAGATACATTTATACGAGCCAAATAAAACCACTTCTGTTCCTTTCTCTCCCATCTTTAGACCAATGGATTGTTTCAAGTCATTAACCATACCCGGTATAATTTGTTCGACCATTCGAACCCAGTAATCGTGTAGGGCTTTGTAGATGCTTTAAAAGTTTGTCGGTAAATTTTATTACTGATAAGCAGTTCTACAGAAAATGACGCTGACCATACGTTTTGGAGATTTGGAAAAGGGAGTAGAAGAAAAAAACTAAAAAAGACATTATTCCGTACCATGGGGTAGGAAACAAATTTGTCGTATTTGTATGCTCACTGTTCCAACTGGAGAAAAGCAGTCCGTGGGTGTCTAGATATATAAGTTCAATTCTTTCACGGTTGTCCACGGATAAAAATACATCCCGTCACATGGAAGACTATTTCTGAGTCCACTGATTTATATCTCAAAGTTGGTTTTAAAGATGTAGGTGGATTCGTTTACCATCTTTCTTCACATCTTCAACTTTGAAATTATACTTTTTTATCTTACAAACTTATTCCTTCTTTTCCAATAGTATCTCTACTACTTTCGTATTCACCTCGATAATTTAACTTGGTATGCTGATATAATGTGGAATTTCAACAGCCATATGCCTTCAAATGCCCTGGTACGGCCGAAGGTGGGGAGAGTCAGCTCTCATCCTCGAAATGCTCTCACATGGTCACATGTATGCAACCACTGCCAGGGAAGTCCTACTCACTGTCTTCTCGTGGCGAGGGTGTTGTTTACGAACTTGAGAGGACGAAAAGCGATTGTCCAGTGCTTTAACTAGGTTGGTGGACATGGAGAGTCTACCTAAGGGAGTTGGAAAACCTGATTCCAAACCAATGATGCACATGGGCTCCAGTATCCTGAAGGAACAAATGTCGTGTGAACTTATTTTTGGTCACTGGCTACCATGAGACTGCATCTCCTGACGTTGCTCCACTGCCTTGCGAACCAGACCTTTAGATTGAAAGCTACGAATGTGCCGCCCCCCAAGAAAACCACCTGCTTCGGTTTGGGCATCCGGGCAGTATCACAGCCCTCATACATATTAAATGAGGTTTGTGTGGCGCATATGTATTTGGTGCCCCCTTGTACCAGTATTTATGTGTTCAGCTAAATAAACAGGCATATATATTATGCTTGGTTCCAAGTTGGTGATATTTGACTCATAGTGAGAAAAACTTTTGACAATTAAGTGTTCACTCTTTGATTGATATTTGAGTAGGCTTTTCTGTGATGACCCGGATTACATAATATTTTGTAAGTGGTGAAAATGTCGTTTTTCTTTTGTTTCCGAGTACAACATTAGGTTACTAGCTGATTTTATGCAATATGTTCCCTAAACCTAAACGTATCTATTTGGTTAATTTTCCTAAGGATCCGTATCAAATTTTAGTAAAATTAATGCAAAATGTTGTGGATTTTGAACTGAAATCAGATGTAAATTCCAGAGATTTTGAAAAGTAGTTACGAAGTTTGTATACCCAAATTTTTTAAAACGAATTGAAACGTAATGAGGGCTTTAGTGAATATCTTAAGTAGTTACTTCTTGTCTGTATAGTCTCCATCAAGAAACTTCAGCGTTGCTTTTTGAAAATATGCATATCAACTGTTTTCAATTTTTCAATTTCCAAATCATATAGGTATGTGAACGTAACGTGAACCAATATTTCTTTTCTATGCTTTACTAGTATTTGTGTCTGGAATTTATCCATTGTTTTAAGTAAAAATTACCCTACGTATTTTATTTTATCTCACTACATACTTTAATTATTTCTCTAGTGGTAAGCACTCGACGATCTAATACACAAAAGGAGGGTAGTATTTGGCTGTATTGATCTGGGATTTTTAATTTTAACTACATCGGAACAGATTTGCCAACTTTTCCTATAATTAACTTTAAGCAATTCCGTAACATAACATATAGTGTTGTCTTTTTCTTTTCATAGCTTGCGTCATTGAAAATCGTATCGTTATCTGTCATTGAAGAAAAATGGAAAGATTTGTCGCTACCGGTTGAACGATTCCAAGAAATTTGTCGCATAGGAAATTTCGCAAATATCTGTGAATGGAGGTGGTTTTTAGCACTTGCTGCTTCTGATTTATGTGCCGTAAGTCTTTTTACTTTATCTCATACAGAGTTTACCATAATTTTTGTCTTAGTTAATCCACTTTCCTTATCATTACTGATTTATCTCTAAAAGATATTTCGACTTGTTAAAAAGACCAAAGAATCTTGTTTGTAAGCTAGCGACAATCAAGTTTAATTATTAAGACATTTTAATTTATCACTGATTACACCTCACTACGTACCTTGAATAAGTCGTAATAACGTTTAGTTACATGTTAGCTAATCAATCATCGCATAAAATAGAAAACAATATATTCAGCACTCCTCAGCTTAGAAGTAGACTTTAAAATTCCAAGCAAACCATCACTGGTCTGCACATGTATATCTGTCAATTCTGATATCATCTCTGTTGGAAACTAGCCTTACATTGACATAAAACTAATGATACAAGCGTATTATAGCAACTTCACTACATATCAATAGTTTATTTCTTCGTAAGAAGTGCTAGACAAAATAATTTCAGAACATTTCTTTTCCTTCACTTAGATTTATAATTAGTTTCTTGGATGGTACAGATTTACTGGATCCTTAATATAGAAATAAAAGACACTTTTATGTTCATATAACTGAGCACTAAACTGAAACCGAGGCATATTTTAAAAATTATCCAGTTAATATAACTCGCGTATGACTGCATAGATACCATTTTTCAACTTCTATGATTGTATTAATTAATCAACAACTAATAACTTATTTTATACTTTCTAGCATATAGTTCTGAATCTAGTTAGCTGACTTAATTTGCAACGTGGAAGCTAAGCTAGCCATCTCAAGGAGCTTAATAATAATGCAACAGACTCAAATGTATTCTTTATGAACAATCTCTTTTTGGTTGTACATATGTGATGTGAGCTACTTATATCCACATAAGTAGTATATAACGATGGTCAGGAAGAGAGTGTATTTCAGTAGAAGATGGAGAAGGAAAGGATTAGAACTGAAAATGCTAGAACAATGAAATCTGAGACGATGGACTAGTATTTGCAAAAGGAACAGTCGAGTTTGAGACAATTAATTAATATTTTGCAAATTAAGTATTCACTGTATGGTTCTCAGATTTTAATGGGATGTTCTGTAATTTATGTTCAAATACATTCGATTGTCCCCACTTGTGCTCTTGTCCACTACACATATACTTCGCTCTTACGTATCAACAATTTTTCTCAATTTCAATGAATCTATCTTTATTATTGTATTAGATTCATTATTTGGGTAATCCAAAGTTTATCAAAACAAATAATATATAATTTACTAATTTTACAGCTTGACCTCGACTCAAGTGATTTGTTCTCCCTAGTAAATTGCTTTATTAATATTATCTAGGTGTATGACTAAACACAATGAGGTGAAACTATATATTCACATGCAATCGGATCGATATGACTTATTGTTTAAAAATAGGAACATTAATGGGTAGTAATACATTAAGCTTAAGCTTATGTGATGTCTGTATGAAATGTCAATTTGGTAAAAACTCGAAGTCCAGTCATATTGTTTGTTCGCCAATACGTGTTCACTTATTTATTTGAGCATAAATATTGGTCCAAAGGAGCACTAGATACATATGCGCCATTCGATTTGTGTTAAGGCTGTGGTACTGCCCGGATGCCCAAACCGAAGCAGGTGGTTTTCTTGGGGGGCGGCACATTCGTAGCTTTCAATCTAAAGGTCTGGTTCGCAAGGCAGTGGAGCAACGTCAGGAGATGCAGTCTCATGGTAGCCAGTGACCAAAAATAAGTTCACACGACATTTGTTCCTTCAGGATACTGGAGCCCATGTGCATCATTGGTTTGGAATCAGGTTTTCCAACTCCCTTAGGTAGACTCTCCATGTCCACCAACCTAGTTAAAGCACTGGACAATCGCTTTTCGTCCTCTCAAGTTCGTAAACAACACCCTCGCCACGAGAAGACAGTGAGTAGGACTTCCCTGGCAGTGGTTGCATACATGTGACCATGTGAGAGCATTTCGAGGATGAGAGCTGACTCTCCCCACCTTCGGCCGTACCAGGGCATTTGAAGGCATGCTTTCTTAAGAAGTATTTGAAATGTCATATATTGTTTTCTAGACCCATTTACATAAATTTAGAACCGCAGTATTCCTTGTATTTATATTGAGTGAATTACAGCCTCTTCCTGCGCGCAAACGTTCTGTGAACATGTTGAGAAATACACTACTATAAAGCTAAGTACTCTGAGAATTTGTCGCAAATTTATTACTTTTCAAATTTCTAAAGCATTTACTTAATACCCTACATCCACAAGGTATCAAGGTATTTTAATCATACTATTATGTATTTCATAACTGTGAACTACATTCAACCACATAACAATTACTATTATTGATGTAAGGCTATCCATCCTATTCAGCTATATGTAGACTCATTTACTTACACCACGAATCATGTTTACTTGGCGAGTTCCAGTGGTATTTCCTGGTTGCTAAAATTTTAGTAGATCAAGCACGGTTCATGTCTATGATCTATTGGTGTCCAAAAAATGGACCATGGACCCATTTTGAACCTTGAATAAAACAGGATTTACTTTATTTTATTAAGTTTAAGAACTCGTTTGCACTTTTTTGTTATACTATTACAGACATTATCAGAAACTTTGAAATTGTTATGTGAAATTTTAACGGCAGATCCTGAAGGTGGGGCAGCTAGATTACCATTTGAGCAATGGCTAGAATTCTATCGTTATCTTGCGAAAATCGATGATATACCAGATGAACATATTAATAAAGTGTTAGCTCATTTGAGTTTTGATATGTAAGTTTGATTTTTTTTATTGCTTTGATAAATTAGACTTAGTATGTAGAGATAACGGTAGCATAAGTTGATTCTCTTACGAAAAGTTTCCTTTCCTAACCGGTGTCCGTCAGTTACAACGTAGGATCAAGTACATATATCCATCGGTCCAAGTTTCCATACCTCATTAACACAACAAGATGAACACCAGATTCATAAAAGTAGTTTATTCAGAGGTGGTAATATATAAAAGAAAGATTGCATATAAGGATATAGTACACGAAGAAATAATTAGTTCGTAGAAAGAAAGATATGAAGCGATTTTAATCTCTTAGTTTAAGGGAAGACAGAGAGTGTATACACCTACGCCATTGTGATTGATTCTGAGCCATGTCACCAAGAGTCTCCAATCATTGGTTACGACAGTCACGCGGACTCCAACCAAATGGTCTGCATCTCTCAACATGACTCAGACTAGAAGTTAGTGACTTCAAGTAGATGCCACGTTTTGATTTGGCCGCCCCCAACTTTCTTCTAACCATCTCCAAGACCGGTTAGCATTGCACGTCGTGGTAATCGGTGTTCAGGCATACGTAACACGTGGCCCAACCATCTCAGTCGATGAAGATTCATAACCTCATCAACTGATTTACCATCATTCCCTAATACCCAGCGTCTAACCTCACTATTACTTACCCGATGATCCCAGCAGACGCCAACTGGTGTATACTTGAATAACACTAGATGTGGAAATTACTAGATGATTATATTTGAAAGATATTATCAAAGTCTCAAACTATGACAAAACAACGGTATAATTTTAAAATACTTCCCTAAGGTCGATTCCCAGTGAAAAACCTTTCGAACTGGATTGATTTCATAATCTTAATAACATTCAGCAGACTCCACAACTCAAGTATTGAATTAAGCTTCATGAACCACACAGCGAAATTTTTAAAATTCCTGAGATAAATCTAAATCTAAAGAAACAATATTTAACTTCCTTCACAAAAGGGACAGAGTAATGCAGACCAGAAAATATCTGTATTTCTTTTTATATGACCAGTGAGCGCCTATATTTGATACGGTTTCAGTCTCTTGTCGGGATCAACTACTACACATGTCGACGTAGAAAGAGAGTGACAAAAGAGTAAGAAATAACAAACGAACACAGTGAAAGAACTAGGGTTATTTTGATTGGGGAGATTTATCTGAACAGAGAGATATGAGAGATGACCCTGACTTCATTAAGATTAACAGTCAAATATTTATGCTTAAACGATTTTTGACCAATTAAAATCTACGGGTAGGAAGTTATATGTTTTCAAGTCTGTATATTTCATCCGTATTTAATCATCAAGTTTTTTACTAGTTTCACCAGGTACAGCTGTTTCTCCATCTGTCATATATGAGGTGTACCTCAATTCCAATATATTTGTCGCTCGTTCTGCCAACGGATGAGCTAAAAACCAAAATTTGCCAACATTAAGTGTTTCTGTCCGAGTTTGTAATTCCTTTGAACTAGTTCGGAAGTACAAATAATAGCGTTTATAATACGGAGAACAAAAAAAGTAATTAAACGAAAGCTAAGTGTAAAATCTAACCATAATCACGCTTCGATGAAATCTGAAAAAATTAACTGTGATAAAAAAAACTCTGAAACTTATTTTTCTCTGTGACCTGATTCGATTTGAACACAGCTAACAAATATGGACCAAAATAAACACAAACCATTCCCTCCGAATTTATAATGATTTAAATGACTTTTTTAAATAATGTTTTTCTTAAAATTTACTTCTGGTTTTCATTTTCATTCAAAAGTGCAACTCAAAATGGTGCGATTGCACCTCGTAATTTTATGCATAAAAATTGTCCGAAATTAAATCCGAGCGATGAAGTAAATTTACATGCTTTCATAGAATCAACGGTTGAAGACTAATAATTTCCGCATCAATGAAACACCATGCATATGTATGTACATCAATAGGAAGAATATTCCAAGTATTTTACATCTACGTTCAACTTATTTTGTTAGTCTTATTAGAAAGGTAAACTAAGATAAATTGATGTTGGTTAACATAAATTCAATTGTCAATGAACGAAATGGAATTTTGTAAATTTTGAGAATTTCAATTTTTTTTATTTCCAATTATATTATGGTTGACACTATTTTTGGGAGTGAAAATTACTTCTTAATAAATGCGTATATTTCATGCAAATTGTTATGCGTTCGAAAGTTTACTAGTGACCTTCACAAAATGAATATAAAATTTAAAGGAATCCAGCTCTATTCCCTGACTTTTCATTAGTTCCCTAGCTAATGGAGATTGACTTCGGAATACACTAGCATGTTGGAAAGAGTCACTTACTGGTAATTTATGGATTCCTCGAAACTCCAATAGGAAGCTATAACCTATAGAACCGACCAAGCTGAGGGCGATGACCAGCAACTCACATATTACTTGAAATGAAAATCGCAGTAGTTTAGAATGGAAAACGTACAAACAAGTTACGTGGGAAGTGTTAACATTTTCACAAACAACTCGCAACCCTAAAAAATGTATGCATTTTTATATCGCTAATAATGCTGTCCTTACAGCTTTGAAAACAAAATATTACTACCTATTAAACTCCGATAATTTAATATTGAATATTAGAACACGATATGTGCTTACGATTACTGGTTATTCAAGCTCTAATGTTCACGACTTTAGCAACTGATGTTTCATAGTGAACACAAATACAAGCCATCCATCAGCTAAATAGCCTTTGAGAATTAGGGAATAATATATAGGAAGTAATCACCTTAAAGTGAATTTTTTGAGTAAGTTCCTATACTCCAAAACAGTTTTAGCAGGGCTATCGTCAAAAGAGGTAAATATGTATATAGCGACCAATTATAACATGTTTATAAACTACAAATTAATACAATTAGCGCAAGAACCCAATTACGAAGAGAACAAATAACACACGCATACCAAACAGTAACGAGGATATAATACAGAGTCAATAACAAGGATTAGTTATGTTTCACAACTGGTGCAATGTTATGATTGGTAGTTAAATAAAAAGGGTAAGAGTAATAGCCAGTCTAAAATTAAACAATCGTGGGTATTTAGTGCAAATATTATTAGCTAATTTGCCCTTATCGATAGAGACTAATACACTGTTTAGCCTTTCCCTCCTGTTTTGGCACTTTTACATTGAACCTATAACCACACCTCGAATCTGACCTAGGACCTTACGATTCCTTGACGTGTCGGAATTAGGTGGTTCGCAATCCTAACTTCAGTCAATTCGCAACATTGTCCAAAAAATTGATGGTATCTGTTTGTTTCCGATATGGTTGAATCCCACCGGTTATGACTTCATATTAGAAAACTCGGCAATTATTTTCCGGATTTAGTGCATTAAGCATGTTGTAATCATAGGATAAATCTAACATCCCAGTAACTTAAGAAACCTATTTCTTGAGAATTCAAATATACATAACCCTGCTTTTCTATTTTCTACATAAACTGCCATTTTACTAGCATATAATAGATCAACCATAAATTAAATAGCATTACAATTCTTCATTCCTATGATTCGTTTATAGTGCATTCGTTGAATTGACCAGCTTCTATCACAAATGGTTCAACAAACATGAGATATTTAAAAAACATATAAACGATTACTACTGAAAATAAAACTTAATAATCCCACATTCCTTTCCTAGTATTTTGCATATCGCATCAATACCATTATTAGCAGCACCTTGGGACCATTTTTACATAACTGTTCCCAAAGATTATATTTCATAAAACAAATATAACGCCATTCCTTCGCTTACCACTCAGACCGAGTTTAAAATCCATATTTGTATTAGTGAATAAGTTGAGTCATTTCACGATGTTTGTTGAGCAGTAAAAAAAAATTGCGTTACTATAGTAGGTAAAGACATTACATAAACCTAATTATTATTTTCAGAACTGTTTATCGACCGTTTACATGTGATTTTTAAGCATACTTGAAGACAATAAAAGTTGTTAAATAACTACGGACCAAAATGTATCGGTGTATTGATCCTAGTAAATTGCTTGATATTCATTCTTGATAACAACTCATAATGATAAGGACTGTTTCTAAAAAGGCAACAAGCAAATTTTGTCAATAAACAAGAGGTAGCGCTCTAAATGATAGATAATAACCTTGAAATCAGATAGAGACAAATCATTAGGATACAAGTACATTCACCAAGCTAATTCCAAGAAGTAAAAGTAAACTCTTGGAGTCTAGCTGTTGTTTACTTATAATCCTAACCGGAATTCTGTCTTTTCTTAAATAGTACAGAACACCATAACATATGACAATGATACCCATTCAATTTAGCTTGCTCTTTTTCCAAGTAAACTAGATAGCGTCGATGGTTTCCGAGTTAGAAATTGCAGTTTGTCTGACAAGTCGAAGTAGGATGGAACGTCTATCCTGAGTTCCACTACTGGTAGCTATCCAAAAAAACGGTAAAAGTTAATAAATATTCTGTCTGCAGTTTCTCAGTATAAACAGGTGTGGATATTATTTTGACGAATTCGAGTGTACAAATCATCAGGAGTTCGTAACACCTAGACCGCAATTACAATCCTCAGCCGAAAAGTTATAGTCAAAAACCATGCTAGGCCATATTCAGAAAAGAACTCAGTATCATCGATACTTACTTCAAGTCGCAATAGGTTCCAACCGTGGAAAAATGTATGTTACGGATAACATTTACAAAGTATCTAGTTATAATATTGGATCTGCGGTCCACAGCCCTACCACAGTTCACTGAACCGAGGACTTCTGGTCAATCTTAAGCGCTGTCATTATCTAATGATGTACATGTTGAGGTCACGAATGTGCGCTACTGAGGATTCCCATACTAGGACGAGACAGCTACCCAGTGCTTCCTGCTTTCCAATGGTGTAATACCTAAGATCGCCTTTTAATTTAAATCATGGAGAGTACTTGTTTAGTCCGTTGCTGGAGTAGCTAGACAATCTACGCTGTATTTGGGGAAGAAAGACATGCTGCTGATCCGTCATTTTATACTGTAAATAGATTCAATTCAGTTTACATTTGTCAATACGACTTTTGACTACCGATACTTGACTAAACAGTCAGTATTCATGTGATTTCAACTTATTCAGTTATTTCTAACAAAAGGGTGCAATTCGTATCAAAGCAACTTATGTAGTTTTGAAACGAGTGTCTCATTCAGTGATATCAGATGACCATAATATGGTAACCCGTAGAATGCTTTTTAGTGTTAAGAGCTACTAGAAAAAAAGAAAGATGACGGAGAGGATTTACACTAAAAATTTTCACGCCAATAACGAACTTTGTAACTCTCCCATGAAAGATTGTTACGGGAGGAAAACATGTTTGGGTGAGAAACTATTGCTGTTGTGCAACTCTGCCAAACCACAAAGCTTACACGAGACAAAAGTCCAAGACACCTTTGAACGGTAGTACTTAGCGTTTTGATCAGATACTTAGAGCACAGGATATTCATCTTGTTCTACAGTGGTCAAATTGTCAATTAGCCCATTATGTCGACGAGATGGCACGTAACTAACGACGACTAAGCAACATAACGGTAACCACTCACGAGTGACATTGTTAGGTTGTCGAAAATATTTGATACCCTATCAAAAAGGAGTGTCATTTTTAACGCAGAACCTGAATATGTACGCCGTCCCAAGTTGCCACACAATATTGAATTCTTAAGAAGCACGCTATAGTATAAGTATCAGCACTAGGGTAAAAGTTCAGGTGCAGGAAATAAAGGTATAACATTTCGGGATCTTAATTAAGATACAGTGAATGCACCTTTAACATTGAAGAGGCTTTCGAATCATGTCACCTATATTATCTAACCATTGGTTGCGATGCTTACGCGGACGTTATACAGTCGGTATCAAAAGGGATTGATCTCGCGACATTATTGATGCAAGTTAATTTCACTTCCTTAAACTGGTAAGCATTAAGATTCTCTTCAATAAACTTACTTGCCAAGACTATTGGTAGTACAACATACGACATAATGGTAGCCATAACAGAAACAGGTCACCACACAACAGATTTCCAAACAAACATTTGATATTAATCAAAAACCCTACCATGAAATGGAACTAACGAAGTGTTTCGTGGGAAACTTGAAGCTTCCATCAGTAATCTTTTACATTCTACAACGTATTTTTCGAGATTTCTGAAACGGTCTTTGTGGTAAGCACTTGTAACTAGTACACCATACAGTAAAGTGCCTTTAATATACGATCACTTAATTACCTACATTTTTAGTTAAGCCTCCAAATGGGGTTGCTGATTATCAAAATCGTAAACCTTATTACCGCTGACTAGCCTTACATATGCACAGATGGGACCACTAGAATGTTACAGCCAAACATTAGTCACGAAACTACATAGTTTGACTTTAAAGTTTACAAATACATAAATACGATCATAACGAAAGATTGCTGTCATGCTTATTGCAATTCAAACTTATTTTTAATTTGTTGTTTTACAACTCATAAACACTAAGTGTTATGTATTCTTGAAATGTTCTACATAACACGAACAACACCAGGACATGCTCGACTGTCGATAAGCAGAATAGGTCGAAATATCAGACGATCATCTATGCATTCAGAAAATGATGCCATCATCACAACTGTATTTCAAGACATTATTTTACTTTTACATATTTAGCTTTTTTTGAAGGAGCTTCGTCAACTTTGTTAGCAGCTTTTCGTTTAAGTTTTCCGTTTTTAATCGCACGCGCAAGGGCCATCTTGAAATGTTTTTCTCCAAGCGCAAATGGATTCAATTTTAGCAGCGCCTAGGAAAGATTAGGAAGAGAACGGCATTACAGTTTAAAGGTCCAAGAAATGGTACAAGCTAAGTTGAAATATATTTTAC